TGTTTGGGGGGGGGCGGCAAAAGCCTATGCTTTTCCTAATGTGACCTCCCTAAAAAAATTCTTCACGTAATTTAATATAGGTTGGGGGGCATGGCCCCTGCAACAATCAACATAGCTCCACTACTGTTGTCGCCAAGCGTCCAAAGTCATAAGTCTCACACGCACCCCACACGCGAACGGATGGCTACTTGTTATATAGAGAGAGATGGCGGCATGATAAAGAGAACAAGTTCTAGAGGGGTGCAACCACTTGGTCCATGGTCAAAGGGATGGCCGTGCGCGGATTGGTGAGGTGACGCATGGAAGGCCCTCCCTGGCTGGCTAATGGGCATCCTGATGCGTGATTTTAATTCATTTTACAAGAAAAGGAATTAAGTGGCACGAGTTTCTCATGAGTTTGTCATTTAGTGACGGTTCCTTTTCCAAGATACTTGCGACAAACCAGAGCAATTTTGTCATATGCAATAGTAGTCGGTGGCGCTTCTTGCACAAGTGAACTGATAGTAACATCACTCTGCCTCCAGATAAATCTACAATGGCGTTAAGATTTATCATCATTATTCTAAAAGCAAATCATCCAGATAAATCTACAAATGAGTCATTATACTGGAAGCAAACCAGAGTGATCGCTCACGTTATAAATGTGTTTGTGCCTCGTCATACATATGGTCATCTTATCTTAGCCAGAAGTTCCTTTCAACCATTTTCTTGAGCCTCCTCGAGAAGTAAAATTCAGTACCTTGATAGGCAACCTTAGTAAGCACCCGAGGTTCTTTTTCGTATACATACAATCAGCCAAAGAGGAGTTTGTTATGATTTGTTGGATCGTTTTTTTCTTATACAATCAGCCAAAGAGAGAAGTTTACAAGCAAATGGATCATAGGCAAGCAGATGACAACAAATGAATTCTCAAAAATGATGATGTGATATAAACAAGACAATGTCTTTATATTAGATCATGAAAATGGAAACACTCTGTTTTTTTATTGCATCTTCCAAAGACACAACACAATGGCATGGCAGGCAACAATTCCGTTCAACCTATGCATACATTCATTGTTTGTTGACAATAATTCTAATTCTCAGGAACGAACCAACAAACAACCTTTTTTTTACGGGTGAAAACCAACAAACAACCTATACATACGTTCGTTGGTTTTGCAAATATATTTTATACGAAACTTTTATACTTCTTAGGAACTTATGTTCATCATAGTGTAATGTTAACGAGTATAATATTTTGTAACTTAACTGTCGAGAATTGCTACATATTTTACAATCTTTTTTGTCACATAGTTGTAATGTATTACATCATTGAAATTATACTTGTGTCATACTACAATGAAATTATATCGATAATAAAATTGTTGCTTGCTTTTTTATACTTGCATAAACCAAATAGTTGTACGCATTTATGGTAGAAATCTTTATAGTATATTGCATAACAAATATCGTAATAGCATATTTTTTGTATGATTAGGTAAGCAGATTTATAGAAACTTCCACATAATTGACATGATTCTTTATCTGTTTTTCGTGGTCAACTGTGTTTGCAAGTTTCAACAATCACAGTTATGTGTCTGACATGATTATTTACCTGTTTTCCATGTTTGAATAATAATTTAACAATGTGTGCATGCATTGGGTTCAATATTTAAGTATCATTGCCAATAGTAATCACCTGCAGTGTGATGACTAACTTTAATCTAGAATGAAAATGAAAATTAACTTCAAGAACTCACATATAAAACTTGTGTGTGTGAAAAAAAAGGCTTCGTGTAGCCGATGCTGAGCTTAACCGAAGTGTGTGTGTGTGCATGGCCATGTCGCTGATCAAACAGTGAAGGTTGTAGAGATCAAGTGCGGTAGAGCAGAGAAAGCAGTTCATGATGCACACGAGAAACACAACAGAGAAAACAGTTCTAGGTTTGGACGCACGGTTCAAGAGAGAAGAGATAAAATGTTTTGAAAAAAATAAATTTAGGAAGGAAAAATAGAGACAAAAATCACCCGTGCTTCTAGTATGTGGGAAGAAATCACACCATAACTCCTAGACTGCGACAAGTGTCGTACATGCAATGCACCATGCGTCACCACCTAGAGGAAATGCACCATGCGTCACCACCTAGAGGAAATGTCAGTAACCTTGCAAATGGTACCCCTTAAATAGTGATTTTACACTCATTTAGGCTATAAGAGATTACCTTTAAAAGAACATATTGGGCCATTGGAGACTGGTTTTGGAGTCCAGATCAGGCATGTATTCAGCCATGAACATTTGTATGCCCAATCAAACAAACATCTGCACACCATTCTAGCTGGTGCAGTGAGCCGAATTATGAAGCCGTCACGTCAGGCCTGGTGTTCTATGCCGACATGGGTATATCTCGCCCGCAGTGAGATGAACTACTGTCTCGCCTCTGACATAAGGCTAACGGGCCGGCCCATTGTTGGAGCTTCAC